GCGTTCGTAGCAGCTCTCAACTGCTGTGCTCCTTCTCGGTTACGAACCGCAGAGCAGCGTCGATGTACAACCACCTCCTTCATGGAGGAGCAACCGTGTGCATCAACAGGTACAACCACACATCATGCGCGCACGCATCACATACTGAATCGTCATCACAGCAGTTGCTGTACGTCTCTCTTCGCTCGTACTCCTTCTCTGTCTCTCTGTCTTGTGCTCGAATTCACCACGCTGACTCTCCACAAACTGCTGCTGGGGCACGGGACAACTGCATACTACCATAAGCGCCCAGCGTGGGTCGAGGTTGAGCTTACGACCGGCAAGGGGAGGGAGAGCACTGTCAAAATACAGCCCTTCGAGGACAAAATGGTATGGGTGCCCTACTGCAGAGGGGTAGCGGTCAGCGGCACGTACATCGTTAAGCAGTGGCCTTTCATGGTCGCTGCTTGCATGACCGTACACAGAGTGCAAGGGGTAGGGTTCGAAAGGGTGGCCGTGTGGATTCCCTCTAGAGGGTTCTTCGCCCAGGGTCAGGGGTATACCGCCGTGTCCAGGGGGAAAACTCTAGACGGCCTGCTCCTCGTGTTACCAGACGATGTCTTGTAGGGCAGAGAGTTAGCAAGAGAGTTCCTCAAGGAGGCGTTCCAACCGCCCATCGATGCCATCAACGCTCTAGCCGACATGCGACAAAAGGCACCGGCCACTGTTACGGTTAACGTGAGGGGTAGGGGAGTTGCGTACGCTACGCTGTGGGACGAAAGACGGTCATACTACGCTCCAGACGGGTGGGCGGGTGTGTGGCCTGGAGTTCTGTCCAACGGTTTAGGTGGGGCAACACGTGTCGAGGGGGAGTATGCACTTGCTGAACGGTCGAACAATTATTCACCTTGTGCAATAGAAGGAGAGGAGAGGCACACCGGTGTGTGACGAAGCACATAATAAGGAACTCCTCGAAAGGGGGAACATGACGCTGCTGCGGACAAACTGCCTTTGAGTACATGCGAGCAACACGGCACTCCTGTGACGCACACTGCACGACGCTCGGAACCCCGTTAAGTGCCTTCGAGCGAAGCGAGTCACACAACACTGTGACCGCACACTGCACCGCGCCCGAATCCTCGCCAATTGCCTTCGAGCGAAGCGAGTCACACGGCACTGTAACCGCACACTGCACCGCGTCCGGAACCCCGTGAGTGTGTCTGCGAGCGAAGCGAGTTACGATGCCACTTTGTCTTACTCCAAAACCATTACACAAACAACAACACACCAAACCAGGCTATGAATTTTTACGATTGTGTTTCTAGGGGTGCAGACACCACGAAATATCAGTTAACTAAAAAATGTGGGGCGACCATCGCCATGGAACAAATAGGACGAAAAATACACACAGAACAGAGACAGCCGCTGAGCAGGCTACTCCCACTGTGCACTTCACGGAGTAGCCTGTGCCCAAGTCGACAGGGTTTGTTTCTTGACAGCAGTG